AAAAAAAAAAAAAAAAAAAAAAAAAGTCAGTAAGAACACTAAAGCCTAAAATGCTCCTAGTGCCTAGGCATAGAGAAGACTGTACCAAAAGAAAGCATATTCCCCATATAGTTTATCCTTTATTGAAGGACTCATATTTTTTAGCCAATTCTGTGTAGTGTTTATTTGAAAATCTAAGTATGATTGCTATAACAGGGGGGCATTTAAAATAAGTGAATGTTTACATAAAGAGACCAAGGGGCTTTACTGTACTTTATCAGTACAATAAAAATGTGGAAACAAATTTCTATAGAATGAAAAACAATATAAGAAGGGTTTCCACAAGAACAGTATTAGAATCTATGATGAAAACTACAATGCATTTTTAAAAGATTTCTATTTTTGAGCTCACAGCAAGGAAAGGACGACCCAGAAAAAGAGGGGGAAATCATCATCATCATCATCATCATCATCATCATCATCATCATCATCATCATTGTGGATTATAATGAGAATTACAGTTAGCTGAGACCTTTTCCCATCTCTTTATCAACAAGTATTCTTATCCAAGAATATTTTTCCTAAATAAATGAAAATAAGAGTATATTTCTAAGCAAATATGAAGTAAATCAAGTCTTGACTCTTTCACTCTACAGCCCACTTTCCCAGTCCAGATCACTCAACCTATCCGTGATTCCTCTCTCAACCCTCAGAGGCTAACTGTGGACAAATATTAATACAATTCTACCTCCATAATGTGCCTCCCCCCAACCTAAGTCCTTACTATCCCCCTACTACACACACACTGTCTATAGAATCAGGTACAATTTTCCCTATCTAGCCCCAGTCTACATTCCCATTCTGCTTCTCAAATACAACCTAATTTAAAGTCATTCCATTTCTCAACTATATCCAACTTCCTACCCCAGGGACATTGCCAAAAGTATTCCTTTACTCTGGAATGCTCTCCCATTCCTGCTGTTAAAAATCCTCATAGTCTTTGGAGGCCCAAGACAAATGTTACTTTCTCAGTGAGGCTCTCTTAGATCCCTCAGTTGAAATTAACCTTTCTCTGGCAATCTCATTACCCTTTGAGATGAATTTGGGACACTTTTCTTGTTTATCTCCCACTACGCTATGATTGCCAAAAAGCAAGAAACATAACCTATTTATCTTTGTATCTAACATTATCTACACTAGAGGGCCTTGCACACAGCACACACTTAACTCATGTTGGCAGAATTGTTTAACTGAATTTTCTTTCTTCAACCTGACAGTCTGATGTGTCCCTAGAACCTAGTGTTTTCAAAGAAGCCAAAATCTCCAAGCTGACTCTATGTCCTGAACATGTCTGTTTCTCCACCAACTGTACCATTAACCACCTTCTGTTTTTCTGTTTAATTCAAGATCAAGGAGGTATGCAAGCAGAGAATCCCAACACGGATCCCTAAACCAAAATCTACAGGCATTGCTAAGCTTTCCCCTAAAGCTCTCCCAGGGCCTATGGATAAGACTGGCTGTGGGAAGCTACACATCATAAGGACTGTCACCTCTAATACTTTCTTCCACATGGGAGGGAAAAGGTAAGTCATGCAAATGTACTGCCTGGATACATTCACCTACAGAAATATCTGGAAAGCTGGTGTTACTAGTATGGAAGGACAAAGATGAAGGGCCGTCTCTCCAGGAAATGGTGAAACAGCAAACAGACAGACGGTTGGTTCATTCACAGGTTGCTGGACCTGGTGAATATCATCCTGAAAGAGCAGGACATCTGCAATTACTTTAACTATATATGTATTTGCATATACACACAATCACAGGCCCAGACACACACCCCAAATCCTCCCAACTCATCATCCTACTTGTAATCCAACTCAAAGTTGGACTATCATTAGCCAGGAATAGGACTGAATTCATTAGAACAGTTCACAAGTTTTCTGGTGAACCCAGAAGTAATTCATTCCACAGAACTTTGCCAAGAAGATGTGGTATCAAGGATTCCTAATCTGCTTCAAGAAAGTCAGATTATTTCCATCAAAATGGCAGGACAACTAAAATCATACTTTAAATTCTAAAAATATGACTTCTTTATGACCAGGAGGAAAAAAACAAGTGGTACTTCTTAGTTACAAGGGAGAAATGAACAACAAAAATGAGTAACAGCCGAACACGTCCTTTGTGTGGCCTACCTGATAAATGCTGGTGTAGTGTGCACACTTGGCTGCTGGCACTTAGTCTTCTGTCCCACTTTCCCTAGTAAATTGCCCCTCCTGTATATACAGACCATGGAATCTCATTGCTAGGCTTGTAAAGCAAACCATTTTAGATTGGTATCATTGCTTTCTATAGTAATCAGGACATCTGAGAGTCAAAGGTCACTAATACTAAGATCTTCTAGGGAGATATGAATCACGGTTTTGGATGTTAAAAAAAAAAGACAATTTATCATCTCAATGGACATTCTTTAATCACATCTGAATCAACACTATTGAAAACTCAGTTGGTTCAAAAAAAAGCTTGGGGTCAGGAGACTCAAATTCCAATTCCAGTTTTTTCACTCATTTGACACTGAGCTTGGTGTTCATTAGTCTAAGCCTTGAGTTTCTAGTATGTAAAACAGAAAAGCTGAATAATTCTTCAGGTCCTTCCCAGTTCTCATCATCCATGAGTACGTCAACTACGAAAACTGAATTCAACCAGTCATCTACAAGGTGGGGCTCAGTTCCCTGGCAGTAAACTAAAGTAGTTCTTTTCTTCACACTAAAAACTCACTGAATCAAGGGAAACATGTGTCTGTAATTGAGTGTGGATAGAGTAACACAATGACATTTTAAGACAAATAAGGCCTTTTTGACATGGGAGACAGTTGTATCTCACAAAGCTTCAGTCAGAAAAAATAAATACATTCTACGAAGAGCACGACCCAAGGTTTTCTGTGATTCAGCACTAAGAACTGGATGCATGATCCTGGAGGAAATCCTGCTGGTTAAGGACAGTGCTTTAGCTGGCTGTCCTGGGATGAAGTCAGCAGAGCAGGAGCAAAGGAACTGCCATTCTTCGCATTCATCCAGCCAAGCCCAATTCAATGCATTGATGTCACTATACAAATGTCCCTGGGACCCACTTCAATTTCAAGGAGGAGGAGAAGGAGCTGGAAGCCTGGGTAGCATTGAGCTATACAAGCCAAAGAGAGGGATGATCAGGAAATGGCACAGGGAGAAGGTGAGGAGGTTGGGTGAATTAAAAACCAGAAGTGGAAAAGTCTAAGTTAAATGAAAGCAGTAAGAGAATAGAAGGAGTGGACTACAAAAAAAGATGATGACCCTCTGACATGAAAATGATACAAGAGAGACAGTTCAGAAGGAAGTGCAGGGCAGTAACGGGTAGATGGTGCAGTGGGAAAATGTGTAGGGGGCTTAGGGCTATGCCTGACATTAGCAGGTAATATTCAGCAAACAGAGAATGAGTGAATGAGGGAGAGAAGGGCCATTCAGTCAAGACATAAGTGAGAAAAGGTGCTAAGAGATCGCAATGGTATATGATAGGGTCGGGAAAAGCAGATATGCTGGGTAACATTCAACACTGATAATTATGCTAATGCAAAGAAAAAACACTGAACCTCCTAGGGTGGAACCCAAATAGACTGAAGAAAACCATGAAACAAAACAGGAAAAACAAGCACCAACAGTACTCCTAGAAAGACTCAATACCCTGGCAATGTTTTACCTTGAAGATGAACACAAAATATATTTTACGTTAGAGATTTCAAAATTGTTTTCTGCTATGTTAAGAGACTCCCTAAAGTACATTTTCATGCCAAGCTGGCATAAGTTCAAGAGCAAGCAAGATAAGAAAGACAAGATATTGTACAAATAACTAAAAAAAGGATAGGAAAATAGCTATACTTCTATGGAAAGCAGCAGAAACCTATCTTTAAATGGTAACACAGTTCTAATCCCATTGATACTAAAGTCTTTAAAATAACACAATCTATCCTAACAAAAACTATGTTTATTTTAAAGCAATATGTAGTGCAATAAAAATGCATAAACAACTTAGACCTGGGATAAGTTCAACAAAATGGTGTTTGACCTATAACACAACCAAAATATAAAGAATGCTGCCTCCTGAGCCATAATCCTGTTTCTGCAGAAATGTGATTCCTCCAAAGATAAAAATAAAAGAAGCTATCCTAATAATTCCATAGTGATTTTATTAAGTTAAATTTTTTAAAGGAAGCAGATAAAAATCCAAGTGAGCAAAAACACATTCAAATTGTAACAAAAATTTTAATTTTTGTATGATTTTGTATGCTGGAGTCTTTCCTCAGCTGTTCATTTATTTAGCTTCAATGATTTCTGAACTAATCTCCTTGCAATTTTGTAGAATAAAGTATCTGATTGTAACAGGAAAGTGACTGATCTCACACATAACTGATAATTCTGGACTGAGTAATGGAGTAACTGATGTAATGGAGTGATTCTCTCTGGGACGTGTTTCAAATTCCTGCTTTTGAGGACATGTGACATAACTCTTGGGGTCTGACACTGAGTCTGGGGCAGGGGTTTATAAATGTAAAGACCCCACAGGCCAAATTCAGTCCACTGTCTTTTTGTATGTCCTGCAAGTTAAGAGTAGTTTTTACATCTTTAAATAGAAAAAAAAAATCAAAAGAAGAATATTTTGTGCAATGTGAAAATTACATGAAATTCAAATTCCATTGTCTATAGATAAAGTTCTATTGGAACACAGCCACATACATTTGTTTACATATTATCTGATCATTTCTTATGCTACAATAGCAGTGTTGAGTAGCTGTGACAGTGGCCAACAAAGCCTAAAATATTTACTATCTGGCCTTTTACAAAAAAAGTTTCCTGACCTCTGGTCTAGGGTGAACTAGACTAACAAGGAGCTCAAGAGCTTAAGAACTTAATCAACTAATTTTTTTTTTTTTTTTTTTTTGGTACACGGGCCTCTCACTGCCGCGGCTTTTCCCGCTGCGGAGCACAGGCTCCGGACGCGCAGGCCCAGCAGCCATGGCTCACAGGCCCAGCCGCTCCGCGGCATGTGATATCCCCCCGGACCGGGGCATGAACCCGTGTCCCCTGCATTGGCAGGCAGACTCTCAACCACTGCGCCACCAGAGAAGCCCCTTAACCAACTAATTTTTAAAAGCAATGCTAGCACTTTAAGAATGCAATTAAGAATTCTATGAAAGCTGATGAAAATGGGGAAACTATATTTCAAGCTGTTTGTGAGATATTTAGTAAAATGTATACTTCTATGAAAGCCCTAAAGTGTTCAACTAAAGAACATCAGATGAGAAAAGATTTGTGCCACAAAATAATGTAATGTGTTAATGTTGAATCTGAGGGGGAAATGGAACTATTTCTAGGCCTTCCAAATTCCTGGTATTTTCTAAGACAGCAGAGCTACTGTACATGCTATTTAGAGAAAGATGTGTAAATTTGTACCTTTAAACGTTCATAATTGTTGTCAAGAACCACTTGTTTAATCATTTGCAAGAATTATAGAAATTGTATACAGTAAAGTAAAACTTGGTCTTTGTTACACAGTCTTCAAGTACAGAACAAAAATGTTCCCTCTCCTCTTTCCTTCCTCTCACCTTTTAAAATTTATCCTACCCGTTTTTTGCCCTTAAGCATCTGTCTTAAAAGAATATCATTTGCATTTTGAGGAACCACATCAATGTATAAAGCCCCTAAACAGATTATGTTTTTCCCTCTAACTCCATTACAATGTTTAAAAGAGAGCCAAGCATGAGAGTTCAATAAATGATTTTGAAAACAACATGCTCTGAAGTTGATCCTCTGTTGTATGTTATCAACAACTACTGTAAATATTCCAAGTCTGAATTTTATATGTAGAGGCAATGCTTTACAACATCTACTACTCATGGCTGCCTACAGATGTGAGAAAAGAAAACTCTGGTGTGAAAAAGGAAAAAAAAAAACCCAAAACTTAAGTTATTCAGGTTTAAAAAATCCAAGGTGTTCCCCAACTTCACCGTTTCCAGAAGGAATTCAGCATAGATAAAGTGATGTGATTTTTTAAGGATAAAATGATATTACAACAAAAATATTTACAATGCTTACATCAGCAATCTCAAACAAAATGATCACACTGATTCTAGGTGACAAAAGCTGTCACCAGTAGGAATTATCAGCTCATTTACAAAGCAAAAGTCTGCTGTTCTTTCAAATATATAATTTCAAAACTAAACCCAAATATGGTTAGAATAAAATGATAGTAGACACAGTTATAAAACACAGATTTCTAATGTATTTTTAGAAAGAGAAAAGCAACATCTGCCAAGTCCGTCAAAAGCCTAAGCAGGATTTTGACAACTCTTCCAGTGGACCAAGTTTCTTTAGACGCAGAAGTCCTATGTTAAAGTCTCCAAGATGTGGCTGTGAAATATTAACAATTAATTACTTAATGAATAAATCCTTAATGAGTGCCTTCTAAGTACCCAGATACTACTATAGGCCCAAAGGATACAGCAAAGAACAAGATAAACAAATCTCTGCTCATATGGTGCTTACATACTAGTGTGGGGA